TTAATATTCTGTTCTTGTGCTGATTTCTGAGATCTGGATTATTATATGTCTGGATGTAGATTTACTTTGGTTATGGCTAACTGGAGTTCTATATCCCTCATTTGTCACATTCTTCTCCCATGCTGGGGATATTTTCTGCTATACTTCTGCATGTGGTCTGTTTATGTCATTTGTGTTGTCTCCTGTTTTTTCATTGATACCTATCACTCTTGCATTTGTTTTTGTTTGCATCATCTAGTACCTGTTGAATTATTTGCTGTTTCTTTGTTATTTTTATGAGATCTTTCCTTTCATGATCACTAGCTATAATCCTGTCATCAGGGTTTCAAAGTCTATCTTCAGTTTCATTCAAGTGGTTTTGCCAGCTTTCAATGGAGTTTTTAATTTCCTGGAAATTTTAATTTCCTTATCTCTTTGAATCTGTTTCATGCCTTGTAATTCCTTTCTATATTGTTCACTCAAAGTTTCCATCATTTTCCTTTGCACCTGTATTTTTTATTTGTGTCTTCTTTATTATGTCTTCTTTCATTACAGTTGACATTTTCTTTTACCTGAGAAATTATTCCAATCTGATTTCCTCTACAACCTCATGGAGATGTTTCTTTACTTTAGTTGCTATCATTTCAGAAATTTCAATTATTTGATTTCCAATTTATTCTATGTCAGTGTCTCCTGACTTTGTTCTGGGTGGGCTTGAGGTCTGAGATTGTATTTTGCTCCTTTTTTTTTTTTTTTTTGGTCTTTTTCCTTTTTATTGGAATGTAATAGTTTTTGTTTGGCTTAGTGCTCGGTCTTTTGGTGTAGTGCCATGCTATGATTGTTACCCTAGAGCTTCCCAATATTGTTACACAAGGGAAAACAACTGATTACAACAGATATGACATCCTAGCTACAGCAGTACAATTAGCAATAATGAAAGCATCAAGTACAATTTAAAAATTGACATACTGTTGTAACAATTGACTTTGTACTTTAGACCATAGGAACAACGTCTATAGTTATGTAACAGAACCAATCATAAATCAGGGTTTGTATGCAAAATGTTTCCCCTTTTTCAAGTGGATTTACCCTGAGTTCATCCAGACAAATAAGTTTCCAAGTCCCAAACACTTAGCACACTGGATGCCCATCCTGTGATGTAGGGGAATGGCACCTGTGTTCCTCTGAACAAGGTTCCTTAGGTGGCAGAGAGGCAATGGGTGGGGTTTCTCTTCTCCTGCATGACTCACTAAGGTTCCCTCAATGGCAAGGAGGTTCTAGTTTTTTAAATATTCCTTTATTGCTTTGTTCCAGATTCTATTTTATCTGGTCTCTCCTTCAAAGATAGTTTTTAATTATTCTTATGAAATCTTAACAAATCCTTTTCAGTTATATTTTTCTTTGTTATTCATCAGCTTTCTTAAAAATATATCTCTCTTCCCCTGAAAACACTTCCCTCAATTTTCTTGTCATTGTGTTCTGGTTGTTGTCATCTTTCTAGGCCATCCTCTGTTGGCTCATCATAATGCACCTGACCTTTAAAAATTGGGAGTTCTTTAGGAATCAGCCTTAAACCTAAAGAGTGAGATCATAATTTGAATCTGGTGCATGCTTGTAAACTCAGTAATCTGGTAGGCCGAAGCAGGAGAATCACAAGATCAAGCTCCAACTGGACAATTTAGGAAGACATTGTCTCAAAAAATATAAAATGAGCTAGGAATGTAGTTCAGTGTAAAAGACTGGGGTTCATTCCCTAGTATCATAAGAAAAGAAACTTCTCTACACTGTCTGTCTAGACAACCTCACCCATTTTTGTGTCTACTGGCTAACAACTGTCAAATTTATATCTCTATCCAAATTTTGCTGTGACATCTTTTATTAAACATATTCTCAACCCAACTTCTCCATTTCTACCACAAATCTGGTCTTCACTTTTCCCCACCTTATAAAGCGTCTATAAGGTATGGCCTTGGCATCTTTTCTTTCATTACTAAGACAAAATACCCAATGCCCAAAACTAAGAAAGGAAAGGTTTATTTAGCTCACAATTTGTGGAGATGTCAGTCCATACTTAGCTGGCTCCAAAGTAGAGTGGCACATGGCAGAGGGTAACAGTTCATGGAAGTAGAAGACAGCAAGGACAACAAGGGAAGAGTGCATAGAGAAGACTCCTTCTGTCCCTTATAGTGTCACACCCACGTAGGGTGGGTTTTAACTCACACCCATAATCCCAGCATTGTACTATGAGTTGATCACAAATTCTAGAAGCCTGCCCCTAAGACTATATGAAGCTTTGGGAGGACATCTAGATACAAACCATAACAGAGGTCATCTATCTAGTTGGCCATCCCAGGAACTGTGAGTCACTTTGTCAGTGAAAAAACCTTTTTCTATGTCCACAATATTTCTGGTACAAAGTATGTGGCTTTTCCAAACAATTCTCCAATTCTATGTTGACACCAATGGGTTGTTTTATAATTTAGCTTAATTGCCTAAGATTAGCATAGACTCCACAGGTTAAGGGCTCAAGTGCCACAATACTGTCCCCCCTCCATCATATGTTGATCACAAGTGGTGGGTCTCAAGGTCACCCACACTGTCTCATATGACTACAAATTGCAGCTTCCCTCCTTAATTTTGTTAATATGCTGGCATGATTTATAGAACTCAGGAAATAACTTACATACCAGTGTATTATAAAGGATCTGACTCAGGAAGAGCCAAAGGGAAAAGATACACAGGGAAAGTATAGAGGAAGAATGTGGAATTCATACATCCCTTCAGGGTGCACCATCAACACTTCTCTGTGTTCACCAACCCAAAAGCTCTCTGAACCCCTTTAGTCAGGACTTTTATGAAGGCCTTGTTGCATAGGCATGATGGTTAAATCACTGACCACTTGTGATTGAATTCAATCTCTAATCCTCCTTTTCCCAGAGGTTGGAAGAGGGACTTTAAGTTCCAACCCTCAAAATCACAAAGTCCGTTACCCTGGCAAACAATCCCTCATCCTTACAGACTTATCAAACATTATCTCACTAAATATACTCAGTTGTGGTTGAAAGGAGCTTGTTATGAAGAGCTCAAGATTCTCCTTTTACCTTAATTGCTCTGAGGCTATTTTAGGAGCTGGAGACAAAAATCAGATATAACACAAGATATCAATTAAAAAGTGTAAAGCATTTTAGGAGCTCAGTACAAGAAACACACTCATATGAAAGAGAAAGTCATTGTCACACCTTGAACCTCCTCTTCAGTACTTAGTCAATCAGCTATTTAGACCCTATTTAGAGATATACATATGTATACATAATAGATCTTGAATCCACCTATTTCTACATGTGCTATAATTTCTCTATTCGAAAACAAACAATATTATTTCCCACCTGGTACTATACTTCCCCTCTATATGGTCTTCTGTCTCCTTTTTATTCCATTCAGTCCATTCTCTACTCAGCAGCCAGAGTTTGCTTGTTTGTTTGGTGGTACTGATAATCATACCTAGAGCCTTGTGCTTACTAGACAAGTTCTACCCTTGAACTGCCTCTCTGTTCCTTATCTAAATTTTGTTTTGAGACAGGATCTTGCTAAGTTGTACAGGCTGGCCACAAACTTCCATTCACCTGCCTCAGCCTCCCAAGTAGTTCAGATTATAGGCCTGTACCACTGTCATGCCTGATGATATTTTTAAATGCAAATTTGATTGTCACATCTTAGTGACTGTTGATCTTGATCTGAAGTTCAGAATCCTTAACGTAGTCAACAAAGCCCTTGTTGAGTAGGAAAACTTTTCTTTCACCTCCTTAGGTTTATTGCTAGAAGACATGTGAATTTAACTAACAAACGGTAGGTTAAATAAGGCACACAATTTTTATTAATATTCATATGCATGTGATTTTACAAAAAAAGGCTTAGGAGGCAACTATATTTTGGGGTTTAATATACCTTTTTAGTAAGAAAAAAAAGAAGTTGAGCTTAAGGAATGACAAATTGTGGAGAAGTAACCAGGAAATATAGAGGAACTAATGGAAGGTAAATACTATTTCAATTATGTCTGTTTATGCAAACTCATCTTGATATCAATGCTGTCTCTCTTTTCTCAGGCGATAAGAGCCACTTTCTTCCTGGTGTGGGGAGAGGGTGAGGGCACACTTTTACAAAGGGTGATTCATACCCTGCTTTTTTAAGGCAGATGGAGGAGGAAGATAGAGAATTCTTCCTACATATATTGCCAATTACCTTTAGCTCAACATCCTTAAGTCAAAGTAGCATATTGTGAAGTGTCATATCCTGATCTCCTGCAGCCTATTGTGTTTCAAGGAATAATTGAGTTACTTTAAAAATGTTTTTGGTTAATGATCAGAGACAGACATGGGATAACACTACAAAGAAATATATAAACATAAGAGACATTATATTCACAGGTCCTAAGAGAGAGAGGAATGTAATATCACACAGAGGGCCATATAGAAGGAACTTTCAGAAAAAAAGCTCAATCAAGTAAAGAAGATATATGAGAAAGGAGGTTGGAGAAGTCTGGAGAGCAAATGCCTTTGTTGCTAAGTCTGAGTACACAAGCAAAGGCATAATGGAAGCTGGTGTGTTTAAATGTCACTAGGTCAGAGGGTGGCAAAAAGAGGGACTTGTGGCAGGAACTAGCCTTATCACACTGGTGACATTTGGTTGCCTGGGTAAGGTTTTAGGAAAGTACAACATTAAAAATATTTACAGTACTCTTGTATAATCTAAGTTCTGCCTTTTGTTCCAGCCTATTTTTTTAGTTCCACAGATTTTTTTAATTTCATGGAGAACACACAGGCTCTTTCATCTTTGTGGAATAGTTTCCCTCCTCACTCTTCCTTTTGTTAAATTACATTTTTTAAGGTACCAAGTTAAGTGTCTGTTCCTCAGAAAAGTTATTTTTTGACTTTTCAGAAATATTTGGTCTTTTTTTCTAAAAATCCTTTTTTTAAAAAATAAAAAATAAGGAATGAGTTAAATTTGATTCTTGTATAAAATAGAAAGGACAAGATTGCAACTGCCTTTTAAAACCTCCCTTAAGATGTAAATAGCCTATTTAAATTGAAGGAGCCCTAAGTAAGGTGTTATTATTTACTTACCTAAGCAGAGTTCACAATATTTCTGTAGGAAAGAAAATAATAGATGTGAGATGATTGTTCTGTTCCTAGGACAGATGAGAATTTTGGAGACCTTTCCTGATAATAATTTTTAAAAGGGATTCAGGGAAAAGAGAGTAAAAGAAACAAGTCTAAGCACATCTCAGGACTAAGGACAGTTTTCTCATTCCATCCTTATCTAGGAGAAGATAAGAAGTCTGGCAATAAGAAGGGTGGAACATTATTAAGTAATGTTGTCTAACTCAAAAAGAAACCCTTTTCAGAATAGAATAACAGCCACAAATACTGTCGAAGGAAGAAAAAATTATTGAGAACAGTTAAGGATGAAAAAGGAGAAAGGTAAGGGTGCCTTTGACTTTATAAACAATATTTGACGTATATTCAATATAGTTTATTTGATGTTTGTTCAATATAGTTTATAACCTTCCTTTGTGGCTTTTATCACAATTGTGCTTGAATTGTTACTTGCAAAATTAATGTCTCCTCTTCTGCATTGCATTTTCATTAAAGCACCATTCTTTTAGATTTCTGCATCACTTTTTCCTTATAAATGAACTTTTCTTCTTCCTAATACTATACACTTTTTACATACAACATCTCAGTACATTATGACACCTCATGATAATTCACATTTCCTTCAGAGAAGTGTATAAATATTTCTCTATTGCTTTTATCTCTCTTCCTTACCTCCTTCTTTCTTCCCTGTCTCCCAATTTTGCTCAGTTTTTACTTTCTTCATTGAAAATCTGAACCAATTTAATCTATGATAATAAAATAATTTACTTGCACAGATGGGGGGAGGAGGCCTTTAGAATGCTATAATAGCGTAATGTCCAGATAACTAGACTGTAGATATATTTATTCAGCAAATATTTATTGGGTAGCTGTATCACTGGCTAATGTAAATCCATGTTCAGTGACGTCAGAAATTAAAACTAAGGCAACAACATGAATTTACAGGAAACACCTTTAATTAAGAAAGATGAGAAAATGGGAAGAGACTTTAGCTTAAGGAAAAAAAGAGCTGAATGGGGCACAGCTCTGAGGAAGAAGATGTGATGGCCTGTGAACAAAGCAACTAGGCCACTTTTTATGGCATTGCTGAGATGGGTTAGAGTCTGGTTGATCATTATGTCAGTTCTGATTTTGCATCTCAGAAGTCCATAGCTTGAGGAGGAAATACAGTTTCCATAAGATATTTGGGGAGTAGCATAGTGAAAAGAAAACCCACAAACTGGGAAAAGATTTTAGTGAACTCTCTCTTAGACAAGGGACTCTTGTCTAAAACATATAAAGAATTAAAAAAACTCAGACCTCCAAAATTCAAAGATCCAATCCAAAAATGGGCATCTGAGATGAATATGCACTTCTCAGATGAAGAAATACAAATGGCAAATAAATACATGAAAATGTTCTTCATCATTGGTCATTAGAGAAATGCAAATTAAAACCACACTGAGATACCACTCACTCCTGAAAGAATGGCCAGGATCAAGAAAACCAACAACAACAAATGCTGGAGAGGCTGTGGGGAAAAAGGAACTCTCCTACACTGTTGGTGGGAGAGTAGACTGGTACAACCTTTGTGGAGGTCATTCTGGAGATTTCTCAAAACGCTGGGATTGGAAGTCCCATTTATTCCAGCTATTCCACTTCTAGGCATATTCCCAGAAGAACTGAAAGCATTATACCACAGTGATATATGTGCACCTATGTTTATAGTAACACAATTTGTAATTGCCAGATCTTGGAAACAACTCAAGGGTCCATCAAATGAGGAATGGATAAAAAAGCTGTGGTATTTCTATACAATGGAGTACTACTCAGCTATAAAGACGGATCACATTGAGATATTTATCAATAAATGGGCACAGCTTGAGACCATACTCATAAGTGAAATAAATCAATCTCACATATATAAATACCGAATAGTTTCCCTAAAGTAAGTAATGATTCAAATATATAAAAGTATGTGGTAATCATGATTCCCCATTATGTGGCCTTGAAGCCTTGTAAAGTTTTCACTTATTAATTGGAAAGGCTTTATTCTGGGCTTCTTGATATGGAGATATTTGAAGCTATAGTATATGAAGTTATTTTCAAATATTTCAAGGAAAAAGATAGACACTATGGTAACTACTATTAAATCGGGTTATTTGGTGGTGAAGCACTAGGTTGCTGAAACAGTCATGCTTTGACCTGTATTGTTATGTTGTTATGTCCTCTTTTATCTCAATCTCTCCCTTATTCACTAAAAAAATTATTTAGTTATTTTTTATGGTTTTTTTAATTAAGGGGAAAAAATTTTAAAATTAGCAGGATATATTATAGTAACTTTTTTTTATTTCCTATTAACTTGTTTTGAAGTCCTCTAATACTCCCACTATCTTGTTTTGACTGATTAGACTCTGTTCCATTCTGTAAGATAGTATCAAGTTTGGGGGTATAGGCAACTACTTTGAAGGCAATAAGATTCACTAAGATGCCCATTCTGGTTTGACTATTATCTTCTTTGGAAGTCCTGTAATGTTTACAATGTTTAAGTTTTATTGGTCTTGTTCTCTACTGTTTAGTTCAACTTTATAATACCTAATGAGATAGACAATTCTTTTTAAGGAAACAAGAGACATTATGGTAACCATTATTGATAACCTTGTACTCTGTTCTTACATCATGTACTATGTCTATTCTTGGTTTTGACTGACAGCTTTGTTTTGCCATATTTGACTTTATTCTCTTCCAAAAAAAAGTAATAAGAACTAAGAAGTAATAAAACCCAAAATGTGTAAATTTTGTTGTAAAAAAAGAGAGGGGAAAAAAGTGCACTAAAGGATACAACTGCAAGTGTGTTTAGGGGTGTTAAATAGCTGACCGTATTAATGTTTTTGGTTGGATCATTGAACACAACTGTTTGCAGGCTCTCTGTTTGAATGTTCACTTTGTATGATTTGATACTGTGACTTGAGCAACTATCTCTAAGACAATAATGTGTAATCTATTAACTGGTGATTTCTTACTGGTTTTTTTTTTTGTTTTTGTTTTTTCGTAGTTCTGTATTACTTGTACTCTTACACCGCTTTGTTTTGTTTTGCTTTTTCTCTTTTTCCTTTTAAATAAAATTTTTAAAAAAAAAGATATTTGGGGAGTAATCTCAATTTTGCAGAGGCTCTGCTGGAAGCTAAGGTAGATTCATGGCAATGATGAGACTTCTAGGTACCCACTGGGGGAAGCAGGGAGCTGGTAGTTGAGTGACTGCATATTTCAGATAGTGGTGTCCACAGTTTTAAAGCAGAAAGATATAAGTTAGGTAAAGTTCAGGACAACAAGCCTTGTATTACCAGTTTTTAGACCGACGTTGCTTAAATTATTAATCTGCCAACATGCAGAGCTGAGCAGAGATCTGACCTAAGGTTTTAAAATAATAAAGGAAACAGACATAAAATGAAGGCAAAGATGCCAAACTTTGACCTGTTTTTAGTTACCCACTGGGCATCCACAGGCTTAAGTAAGGAGTCACAATTTTTTAGCAACAGCAGCTTTTTAAAATCTTGACTGCTTCTGAGTGACTAATAAATTAAGGGCCTAAGTGTTTGTTTGTCTTCTGTCCTGTGATAATGCTCTGCTGGTTTATTTTTGGAGATGCTATGGCAGGATTACCTTGATTTTAATGATGCACGTAGCTTTTGATGACAGTAAGAGTGTTTTGGAGAGTGAGCAGGTAGAGAAGAGCACATACAATGCTTTTAATGTGTGACAGGTCCTGAATTTATGTCCAAGAGTACAACTATGCTCTGTCTCCATAGTGATGTCTGATTGTTTCCTCTGCCTTATGCCACTTATTTCGGCGTAGGGCATACCACACTGAACACAATAGAACAAAAAACCTGACCTCATCTATTTTAGTGAATATAGCCATACACACAATATTTTCTAATAAAATCTGGTGGTTTTATGCAATGAATGAGCAACTAGTTCAGAAAATATATACTTAGTCTTTCTGTGTGATGGTTTTGTATGCTAATTTTCATTGCTTAATGTTCCTTGATCTTACTTCAAATGCCCCTGTTAATAAATACACAAAAATTGTTATCTAGCAGTCTTTTTTTGTTTTCACAAATATTATTTTCCATGTTATTCTTTGAGTTAAAGTGTGCATTACATGTATACCAAGGTATTGTTTGAAAAGAAACATCTCAGAAATCTTAGCATAAGGGTATATTGTGATTATTTTAAGAACAGACCACTAGCAAGTCAGTTTTCATCCTGGTTACCTATATAGGCATTTGTGGGCTTTAAAAGAGAGTAGAGATAATATTGATTTTTTTTTTAAGACAAGGTTTCCCCTTGTGGTGGATGCTGACCTTGAACTTGCTTATGTATCCGAGGCTGGCTTCAAACTCACAGAAATCTTCCTCCCTCAGCCTTCCAAGTGCTGGGATTACAGGCATGCACCACTACACCTGGAAGTATATAACTTACTTTTTCTTCTTTTTGATTTTTTGAGACAGAGTCTTGCTATGTAGTTCAAAATGACCTTGAATTCACTGTGTAGCCTAGGCTGGCCTCGAACATACCAATCTTCAGCCTCCCATGTTGAATTTTATGTTTTTTAAAAAAGACAATGAACATCTTTGCATTGTAAGATATTTTTAAGTTATGTGAGACACCAAAGAGAAAATATGTGCAGTTTTCTGCATTTAGTTGTGTATGTACACACACCTGGGCAGACAACACATATGCTCTTTAGTGGTCTTCTTAATAGTGACAGGAATAAATTATTAACAGAATTGATGAATATGGAAATATTATGACAGATCTGACCATGGTCAAATTTGTTTCTTTTTCTGATCCAACAAAAATAAAGTTTGAGAAATAAAAAAAGACAAAAGTTTTCCTATTCCAGAAGAAAGTAAATTGCAGAAACAACAAAATGGCAAATGTTTGGAATGACAACTTTGGTTTTTGGATTAGATTATATGTGATTCAAAAGGATGAGCTCTTCTTACCATATCTAGTATTCTCTCTGAAATACATATTATTATTATTTACTATGTAAATAATACATAGTAAATGCTCTAGAGATTTCTATTCTTAGTTCCTTTTAGAAAACTGTGATTTTTTAAAATTTCCTAGTAGTTTTACCTAGGCATATAAATAATTGTTCTTGAACTTTCTCCTTTCCCAACATACCTGAGAGGTTTGAATACTTCCATTACTAATACTGAGTCACAGTGGAAATACTTTGTATGTGAAGTGTAAATCCTAGAAACAAAAACCTTAGGTCTGATACTTGAGAATTATTAAAATAGGTAAAATTAATACCTATATAGTTTTCTCTTTAAGTAATTCACACATTAAAATGTAGTTTATTCTTTTGAATTTCTCTATCATGTTTTTCTTATTAATCTATTACATTTTCTGTAACCCATGAGTAAGGTAAATAAACTAGGTAGAGTTGTTCTAATTTTTAAATCAGTAATGTGAAGATACTAATCTTTTAGCATTTGGTCCATATTTGGAAAAAATGGTTTAATAACAGAAGCTATTTTTTTGCACAGTAGAAATAATAATTCTTTGCAGGATCCTGTATGATTTCTGTTGCTTACTATGATGGGGCAGTAGGTAAGTTTGATTGTTGTTTGAGAAGGGAGGCAGGAATAATTTGGGACACCATGGCTCAGCCATACCTCAGTCATTGGGAAATTGGCTCAGCTAACAAAACTTTCCAAAGTCTAATGTACAAGCTATAATGCCAGTTTACTAATTTACAAGCAAAAGACAGCCCCTTCCAATAACAGAAATATTTATGTCTGCCTTCACAACACCACTGTTTTGTGTCAGGGTGAGCATGAAGTTGGATTTTAGAAAGCCAGGTATAAATGTTTGGAAAGCATGAAATCAAAGTAGAAGGAAAGGAATCAGAGGCAGAGACAGAGGCATTTTCCAGGCTGTAATGCAGCCAATGTAACATCCTGTCCTGAGCTGTAGGCTGCTGAAGAGCCTTCTCATTAGATGCCCATATTTAGAGTCTTTCTCTTGGAAAGTACAAACCCCACACAGTGTGTTCTTGTCCATTTGACCTTCTTTTTTGCTATATTTCATTCTAACCATCCCTACCTGTTTACACAGTTTTGTCCAGACAAGTTACTTATTTGATGACATTTCAGTGTGCTAAATTATGATCACATTTTACAATGTCTCCCAGACAGTATACACAGGTCATTTTAAGAGCAGTTTCAAGAATTTTCTCTACTCTCTGGCAATAAATATATGCCTAAAGTCTCTATGTTTGTAATTTTTAATTAATAGTATTTGAGGCATTTGATGCAATTGATCACTCCTTGCTTAACACTTCACTTCTGAGGAGGTTATTTTGCAGCGTTAGAGTTCCTATGTTACTGTAGTAGCTGGGTTGGAAAATATGATATTGCTATTCAATGCATAAGGAAGTTAAACAGGGTATTGTTGGTTGGTAAATGTATTAATCAGTTTTTGTTGCTGATACAAAATATCTGGCATATATAATTAAGGAAAAGTTTATTTTGGTTCACAGTATCAGAGATCTCAGTCCATGGCTGGCTGGCTCCAACACAGAAACATCATCATAAAAGGCAATAACAAGAGAAATCTGCTCACCTTGTGGTAGCCAAGAAGCAGAAAGACAACTGGAAAAAGAGAAAAAGGAAAGAAACCAAGCACAGTAATATATCTTTCCAGGTTATGCACCCAGGGACCTACTTCCTCCAACCAGGATCCATTCCTAACACTGCATTCAGCTATGAACTAATCTGTGATAAGGTTAGTGCCCCCAGGATGTAATCACCTTCCAGAACTTCTTCCTCTGAACATGTGAACCTTTTAGAAGACATTCTTGATGCAAATTATAACAGCAGGTTTCATACTACAAAAAAGGTAAGAGAAAATTATCACTATGGAATACGTTCCTGGCTTGTCAAGACTATTTCATGTCATTATCATTGTCATGTGCATCTGCATCCCAAGAATACGACAGTTTGGAATTTGGATGACTAGAGCTGAGAGTTTTAAATAGTAATCTGTTTTCCAAAGGCATAGAAATTATTGTTATAAAATAACTATTTCTATCTTTATGTGCTCTTTACAGAGTCAGATACAAAGATTTCCATTTTTATTGCAGGGTCATTTGAAAATGTTATAAATACAATTTGTTTTTGTATTTTAAAGAGAATAAAACCAAATAAAATAAAACAACATAAATCCAATCAAACAAAACAGTGAAAGTGATACAGAACTTCAAAACAAGGTAATAGGAAATCAACAATGGCTACCATAATGCCTCTTGTTATCTTCAAAATAACTGCCCATACCATCAGACACAATAAAATCAAACAAAACAGAACAGAATAAAACCAATCAAAACAAAATAAATAAAGTGATACAGGACTTCAAAACAAGATAATAGGAAATCAACAATGGCTACCTTGATAGATCTTGTCTTCAAAATAGCTGCCCATGCCATCAGATATAATAAAATCAAATAAAATAAAACCAAACCAAACAATGAAAATGACACAAGACTTTAAAACAAAATAATGGGAAATAAATAATGGCTACCACCTTTAGAAAGAAATCTCCCATAGTTGCTATATTGCATATTGTTATCCTCTAAACAGATTCCCAGAGCACTGGTTTTAGACCTGAAAAGTCAATTAAACAATACAGGCATTGTTTTTTTTTTTTTTTTTTTTTTTTTACTCTGGTGGCTATCATCTCAGCCTTTGTTTCTCTGAATCAGCCAGTTGCTTATGGGGTGGGTGGAGAGCACCAGCTGGCTCACAGGAAGGTGGTAGGCCAGCCCACAACTGCCGCTGGCTCACAGGAAAGGGCTGGCTTTTTCTTGATTCTCTTCCCAAGACACATGGCTGCTTCTGGTTCACATGAAAGAATTGGCTCTCCCCACGACTGCTGCTGGCTCACAGGAAGGGGTTGGCTCACTGCATGACCACCACTGGCTTACAGGAAGGGATTGGCTTTTTATTGGTTGTCTTCACAGGATGCATGGCCACTGCTGGCTCATGGGAAGGAGTTGGCCTGACCCACAACTGCCACTGGATCACAGGAAAGGGTTGGCTTCTTCTTGGGTCTCTTCCCAAGACTTGTAAGTGTACTTTTGATACAATCTGGCATCTCAATTTCTTATCTGAAAATGACAGTGTTTTATTATTTTTCTGCACTAGGAAGAAACTAAGGAGAAGCAGCTTTTAGTCCAAGAATGATGTATACCTGTGTGGAAAGAAATATAGTTTTATACTGCCTAGTACTATGTCCCAAAGATTTTTCTAGTATTCTCTGTACTATCATAATATTTTCTGCAAGTTTCAGAGTTTCTTCTTTATGAATGCACATTACCAAACTTTAAGGAAAGATATTTCTTCTCATAGTGTTCTTTCCCCCTTTTATGGGAATAGTGGTACTAAAAATGTTACCTAAATTCAATAATATATCTTTATTTTTAATCAAAGTGGCAGAATGATGATCATCAACTCTACGTGTTGCAACAGAGTTTGCTAGAAAAACTTCCAAGTTCCTAGAGCTAGAGGTACTGAGGAATTCACTCAAAGACTAACCTTTTTGCTTACTGTCTCTATAATGCCATCACAATGACAAGACCTATTAATAAATTTTGCTTTGATTTATTTGTATGGAAAAGTTTACATAACATACATTTAAAAATTTGGAAGTTTACATTTATGGAAAAAGCTCTGTTAGGGTTCCAAATAATTTTGCCACAAGAGTAGAAGTAATGATGTGGAAATAAATACAAAGTTTAAGTTTCCAAGAATATAGAGGGGGAAAAGGTAAAACATCACTTAACATCAACATGCCAATTGGGTATAAGTAAAATCACATCCATTTAAAGACGTTAACTTAATGTCCATATCCAAAGACTGCTGAGGACCAACTTCATGTGTTGCAGAGCAGGCAGTGATTGATATTAATAAATTGACATAAAGTAAACTGAGAGTCTGTCCATGACTTGTGGCAAGGCCTGCAGCTCGCATGCAGACGGAGTTGGTCCTCAGGCCAACAGCCAGGGCTAAGATAAGCAGGTGTTCTGGTGCCACAAGACAGGGTGGCATCACAACTGGGGACTTTGTGACTCTCACCCAGGTTCCTTTCCCAGTTCAGTAGCTGCAGTTAGCAGATAAACAGGTTACTCGTTAACCATGTCCCACTTCCATGTGCTCTTCACAAGACTCTTTGTTCCTCAAACTCACAGGCCATGCCTGAATCAAGTTTACCCCATCTCTTCCTGCAGCTCACCAGCACACCCCACCAATTAGGCTGTGCACCTAATAAATACTGGAGACACAGCATCTCATGGTCTGTCTTTTTTGGCTCTAATCATCCCAATTCCCCTTATAACTAAAATATATTTTGTCTGTGTTTTATTCATCATACCCTGAGCAGAAAATCAGTAGTCCTAGGACAGAGCCCCAATAGAACACAATAACAAGCATATGGAAAATGTTTTTCCTGTATAGGTAAATGACTTTCATCTGGTTTAGCTGTGGCCTTCAAGTCAAATAAGGTATTGAGTGTCCACTATATAGGGAATCTAGAGAAACTATACTTCAAAGTTATTTCTGTTCTATAATCCTTGATTCAGTTCACATCCATAATTAACCTTAGTACCATACCAAGCTGTAGCAGTCCTTAAAATTTTTAACTTCCCATTTATTTAGCATGTATTACATACTGTCTCAGATGCAATCTATGAGAAAGTGGTAGGTAAATGATCCCAGCTGATTTTTGTATGAGCATTAGTGGTTGGAAATCTTTCAAAATGAATCTGATTCATGTAGTAATAGATGACATCAATTAAGAGATTCATTCGTGCTGGATGTCTCTTGAAATAATCTTGCCTGAAAAAAAGTAACTTGATGAAATGTAATTCAATGTGTTCTTTGAGAATGCTTATTTCTTCTTTTGTCAGAATATGGAGTAAGAGACAGACTGATAAAATCTCAATACCTGGGAGTTAATATGTGGGTACTTTATATGCAGCCTTGCCCTTTAAGGCAACACTCCAATTGTTTTCCTTTGTCCTAAATACTTTTGCTAGTGTTTTCTCTTTTTCTTAATTATTAAGCCATCTAGTTGATCTTAGAACAATAGAACCTTAAAGCTAAAATGGGTATTTTGTAACAAAATGAAACAAACAACTGAGTCTAAAATAAATGGTTTGCATATGTTTCTTAGGTAATTAATGGCCGAGCAAAATCAAAACTCCATGTTTCCCGATAGCTACTTTAGTAATCTTTGATTCGAGAGAAACTAAGTCTCAATTATACCTAGAGGAACTATGAAATATTTTGGTTAATATCATTTTAGAATAACAGTGTAATAACTATATAACTCACTTCCTATTTCCATAGAAAAGGAAATATTAAAATATCAAATGTTATTGAAGTAAAAGACCTATGCTTTTGTATAATGCAAAATTAATAACCATTTATTACATCTTTGCTCTAATTATTTATCAAATTCTTTATTTTTATTTTTTGAGGTTTAAGAGAGTTTTATTGGAAATAAAAAGGAAAATAGCTCCTGGGTTTCCAAGAGGGATCCCAAGTGGATGTCCTTGATAAAATCTTTAAAACTGCCAACATAGGAATGTTTGCCTGCTATTAGGAATTGTTACTTTAATGAATGTTTTAGATACCACTTGTTTAACCATTATTTAACCAATTAGAAATGTACCTACTTAAATTATATTCATTCCCTTCCCTATTTTCTTTTTGAGTAATGCAATTAGGTTGTTTTGAGATGATTAGAAAGGAAATATAACTTTCTATGGGAGTGTGCTTTGCTTTGACTTTTGTTGTGTCTAGATCGGATAAAGACTGATGTACCAAACCATGAGGGAATAAAAGAAATGTTGTTTTTAGGTTTAGGCTTAAATTTAGGTTAGAGTTTAGGTTTTAGGGTTTAGATTTAGGTGTAGGTTTAGGTTTAGGTTAAGGTTTAGGTTTAGAGACAGTAAAATAGTCTTACTTTGAATTGTTACCTTCAATTGTACCCCCTCAGTTCAAGAATAAATATATTTTACTTGAAGATGTTTGAAAATCTGGAGTAGAATCTCAGTAAATATGAATTCTGTTCCTTTAATGAAACACAAGAATATATTGCTAATTAATATTTTTAAATTTTCATTAAGTACAGTAAATTATAAGCAATGCAAATCAGTTGAAATTGTGTGTGTGTTGGTAGCAAAAAGCTGGCAGTTGTTTATCCAAAGCAAATACTCAGCTTTGAAGCCATGGATATGAAAAACCAAAAGTAAGTATTTCTGCTAAACAAGTATTAGTTTGGCAATTAACAGGCGATATTCAAAGTGCTCTATGATAGAAAGTGGGAGAATTCCCATCCATCTCCCAATGAGTAAATCTCCCAAAGGGAGCAGAATGGAAACATTTCCCTCTGCTTGCCTGACTCCTGATGAGCAAGACCTGAATGAAGGGCAGGATAGAGCCTTGTCTCAGTTCCTCCATTTTAGGCAAGTTTCTCAGATGAAAACCTTGGGCTCTGTCTCAACAGTTACTCAAGTGGCAGCAGCTTGCCTTTCAAAGTTTTAAGCTCCTTAGATTTTCTGATGCACATTTAAAGCATTACCAAAGATGAAAGAGATTTCATTATGTAAGACCTACTTCAAAAAATCTTAAGTTCATTCTTAAATCACTTTCAGAGAAATCAACAATCTAGGAATGAACCTTTTTATTTTAGCCTTCCTACTGTGGTTACTGGAACAAGGTACTTTCCTGATAATCAAATAGAAACCCTTGTATTCCAGGCATTTCCTGTTGGCAGCCAAGTTTTCTGAGCTATATATTAACATTGGCTAGTTATGTAATATGTTGGACTTCATTGCCAATTCTTTGTTTAAAAAGGGTGTGAGAGGTTTTGGTCAACAAGAATGTGAAGTCAAAGTTAAGTATGACGTTGTCTTACCATCTGCCACATCTACCACCTGGATTCATAAGCAAATATGTTAGATATTTAAATGTTTTTATCATTTTAGATAGGCTAGCTACAAAATAATTATTTTCTCTTAGCCTGCCCTACATATTTTTGGGAGAAACTTTCTTCTTTCTTCCAGGAAAAACTAGTCCCTGAAGATGTATACAAAGATTAATAGACAGATGGGAGAGGTTGCTTCAGCGATCATAGGGTAGTGGCTCTGGATGCCCACTCATAGTGTATTTAAGTCCTAATTTGTACAGAGGGTCAGACACTTCAAAATTATCAGCTGTTGTCTCCTCTACTTATAGAAACTTGGTACTTCATTCTTCTGTGTAGTATGCCAAGATCTGTTTAGAATAAGCCCTTCCAAATCTTATACAGAAAACATCTTTCATCCGTTCTGGTTTTAAGTATATATTTAGAGACTATGTTATAAGTAACACATTGCCTGATTTTCATATTCTAATCAGGAATTTCTTAAGTTAACATGTAATCTAATTACCTCAGTAAGACAGAGTTTCTCAACCTTATCCCTGTCGAAATATAGGGCTGGAATATTCTTTGTTGGCAAGAATTAGGGGAGACTTGCCTGTGCATTGTGGGATATTTAGCAGCATCCTTGGCCTCTACTCACTAGATATCAGTAAGTCCCACTCTCTAGTTCTGCTTACCAAAAATGATTCTGAACATTGTCAAATGTGTCGTAGGGGGCAAAAATGCCCGTTTGAGAGCCAGTGCTCTAAGATAACATCCAGTTTTTAATTTCTCATTTTTTTATATTGCTGTGACTTACTTAAGATTTCATGCTTCCTTATTCGGAGACTGAAACTCATGTTTCCTAAATTCAATTACTTTTTTCCTACAACAACATACTTGGTTTGAGTTTAGGACGCTCTGACCCCCAACTTAAAAGTTTGCCCATGGACCTCAGTTCTGTTATAATGTCTAGACAACTATTTGGTAGTCTACTCCATACAATGCACACAAAATCTGTCATTCTCCTGAAATATTTATCTGTATTTACTGTTTTGGGTTGTTTTTCTCAGAATGTATCATCCTCTGAGACTAAACTAGGACATTTAATGTCCTGTCCTTAAAACTTCCCTTATGAATTCCCAAGACTCTTGCCTAATCCAGAGCATCCAGATAAATACTATCTAAAAGAAACTTGGCATAGGAAAATCCAGAGTTACTATAAAAACCACCTTCCTGCCTTTATGCCAATTCAGTTATTCTTTGGAATATTGATTTTATACACCAAAGCAAGCTAATGGTATCACTGCTGGATAGCATAATCTATAAAACCTCTTCTCTATAATAACTGAGTACAGAACAGAGCACCATAGCGTATTATGGTCTACTTGATTGCTCCTGGATACTCTAAGTACTTTCTGCCAAATTCTTGTCCGGCTTATCATTACCAGATCTCTTGAGAGTTTGTTAAGTACACATCCCACCCCTTGATAGACTTGCTGAGTGATGATGTTGTAGAATACACATCCCTATGGATTTTTTGAGTGCCATTGTTGTTGGATATACACTCCTGCTGAGACTTGCCCAGCTGTACTGTTAAGGAATACCATGTTCTTTGTGGTCCTTCTAAGTAATACTATTAGACTCTGATGCATTTCTTGTGGACACTTCTTTGTTAGTATCAATTAACTCTATCCTTTCCTCTTAGTACCCACTAGTAAGACTTAATTAAACTTATTTCTTACAAACCATCTTATATATTTTCTCTGGTCTCTCAGCAACATAAGCCACTGCCCCAGCACACTTATACAGTGGACAAAACAGAACAATCCTGGGGACTGGGGTTTAGCTCAGCGGCATAAGCGCCTGCCTTGAAAGCAGGCAGTTGTAAGTTTGATCCCCAGTACCGATAAAAAGCAAAAAGACAAAAAGAAAACCAGAACAATTCTGATATGAAAATTCATGTAAAGGTAGTTAACTAGGAAGTATTTTTAGGAAAAATTGTCAGAGAAATGAAGAAGTAGATAAAGGAAAAGGAAACCAAACATGGATAAAAATGCCAGGCAAATTTTCAAGCAAGCAACTTTATTTAGCTAAGTTGCACAGGACAGCCCTAGAGATAACACAGATCATATCTCAGAATTATTCATTTTTAGATGCAAGAGAAAAAAACAGAAATTTTGTATTTTGATTCCCATCGGTCATTGTTGAAGGTGTTGTTGAATGTGGACTTCTATACTCCATACTATGAACTTTCAAGCTATGAACATACTGCGGTGTAACTCTTTCTTCGTTATGGGAATTCAACCTAAGTATTGAAGGGTGTCTAGCAGCATCCCGGCCTCCTATCAGTTAAATGCCAGTAGTATCCCATTTACCTTTCCCTACACACTTATGATAGCCAAAATTGTCTGTCGTTTTGATTATTGAGAGTCAAAATTGCCCCCTAATTAAGTGTGGCCTTTGGGGAAGTGTAAATTCCCAGGAACTTCAGGATATCAGGCAAGGTATTCTTTCACAGCCTGAGAACAGCTTCTGGTACACACAGACAATGGTTGTGTGGGTAAAAGCATAACAGGATCAAATTTCATTAAAAGGTTAGTGAAACCCAGTTAAATATGAATAAAGCACTGACATCATCTGCTGTCTATATTAACTTATTACATGTTCCCTTTGCAGGTCTGAGAGTATAGCTCAGTGGTAGAACATTGGTTTAATATATGTGTGGCCCTGGGCCTGATCCCTAGAAAAACATACATACATGCTTACATACATATGTACATTCTTTTCAGTCATGTGAGCAGAAAATAACTATCTGATATGAAGTCACAAAGCTTTTACTGAAATGGCTATGCTGTATTTTATAGTAAGCACCACTGAGTGGAAGCTGAACCAATCACCCGTTGCCATTAAATGCCAAAACACTTTTTCAATAGGGCTAATTTAAGATCTACAAAATTTGTTTGTTCAGAAATCTGATTTGAAAAAAGGATGAAAAAGTAAAGAAAGTAAAGATGAATCCTAAAAGTACAGTCCACTGAACAAACTAGCTGACAGGTTGGAGGAATGAGAAAAAAAGTTAATGATGGCTCCAAAGTTTTTGACTTATGCTACCAGGTACCTAATGATGGGAAGAAAGGCTGGGAAGAAGTATTACAGGAGAAGGAATAAGATAAAGACTACCATTTTTATTATATGGCATTTGAAATGTGCGGCATTCTAAATGACTCAAACGGAAAGCTAGGTATATACAGGTTAAAAGATCAGAGTGGGCTAAGCTAGTGCAATGCTCTGTGTAAGGCTTATGTGGGGCAAGCTTTGTCTCCCGTGTGGCAATACTGACAGGAGGTAGAACTTTCAGGCTGTGGGAGACAGTTAGGTCTTTAAAAAGGATTAATGCATTCCTCATAGAAGTTACCTTGGTCACTCGGGAAGTCCTACCAGAGCAGGTTGTTACAATAAGAGTGAGCCTGGTTGTACATACATGGGTCCCTTCTTTGCCATGTTGTGATGCCGCCAGAAGGACCCTCATCAGGATGGTGGTACCATATTGTTTGAGATAAACAAACCTCTGTATTTTATAAGTTACTTAGCCTCAGGCTGGATTTTGTTATAGCAACAGAAAATAGACTTAGACAATATCCTGCCAATGTAATTTTTCCATTATTACTTTTCCACGTGTAGATATGTAATGATTCCAGCTTCCACCTCCAACTTTTCTCAGTTTCTGAGATTTTTCTACTACTGCTTACTTTTCAGTTTCCTCCCCGCAAAACTTTTATAACTATTTCCTTCACATCACCTTTTAAAACAAACCTGATTTTTAATAACTGAATCTTTTCAGCCTTCTGTTTGCCTAATTTCAACTTACTGCTTTAAGTTTTGGTGTTTCTGTGACGCAACCTACCTCTGGCCTGTACACTTTATTTCACATCACTGTCTCTGTATCCAAGTACATTTCTGACACTGTTTTTCTGGAAAATTCCTAAGTGTTATACTTCATGAAGATTTCAGACAGGAGACTTAAGTCAAACAATGCGTAGTGGTGGAATGATCAACTGTGACTTGGCTGGTGTGATAATGTTGTTCCATGGATAGTTTACCTATCCTTTGATTGGAGGCCTACTCCTTTGGCATAAACCAAAAGATTTTTCCCTGGAATTTGTCTACTCTGTGGATGTCAGCCTAGGGTATTTCGGTTTCAGAGGGCTTTCATCTATGATTTTTCCAATAAAGCATTTTGTTTGGATTATGTAGCAGGCTCTACTCATTATAATCTTAATTATTTAAAAGATCTTTAAAAAACATTCTTCTTTGTTTACAGTTTTAGTCTATTGGTTTTTATTTTTTATTACAATTTTATGCTTTTATTTTTTAATTTCTCCCTATAGTAGACAATTTTTTCTAGTGTGTTGTATTGCCCAGTACTCCATGTTCCTATGTTTGATAAGTTTTGGTGTGAAACACAGTGTAAAATGCCACATAATTGACATTTCAGCTTTTCTTGCAGTTTGCCCTGGGCATGTGGCCTCGATTTGAACAGTAAGCCATACCACACAGATTCTGAGAACAAACTTATTTTTAAGAAAGGACCAGGGTCAATGGAGAACCTCAGCAACATTTAGCTTCCAGAAGCAGTATCCAGTGTTCAGTTCAATGAAGGCGGTGTGATAAGTTGTAAGTATTTAGTGGGTTTGCAGTAGCAATAGTATCCTCATGGACTTGTATATTGTATGATACTTATCTGTGGTCTTAGTTCCTATGTTCCTGACCATTTTCTTAGCCTTCCCAGAAATTGTGGGGGAGTGGAACAGTATTCTGGCTAAATCTTATTTAGAAGTCAGCCAGCACCTAAGAATACTGCTTTTTGTTAAATCTCTCTGTGTATCATCATTCCTTGTATCTATGATAATCTTACTGGGATCATTTTCTTAATTGAAGTACATATTTTATAAGTCTCCTACTGTGCATCTCTTGATTGTAAACACTCTTCACTTTTTAATGACTTTATTTCCCTCTCATTCTATAAAGATGGCTTTGCTAGATATACAATTATAGGTTGACAAGTTATTTTTATACATGCTTTAAAAGTATTTTTCTTTATTTCCTGGTCATAATTATTGCTAAAGAAAGCTCAATTATAATCCTAATTTTGTCTTTGTAGATGATTTGTCATTTTCCTGGCTTCTTTTAAATTGTTATTTTTATTTATTTGTATTTTGAAAATAAACTGATCCAGAGGCACTGGAAATTATTGCCTAATACCCTTGCTAATAGCCATGATATTTTGAATTGTTTTGATCTGAATATCATAACTAAAAGTCAATAAATTATATCCCCTCATATTCATTACTTTCCCATCACTGACACCCACATCTTAAATGAGGAGAGGTTTATTTGACTCATAAGTGAAATGAGTTCCATACATTTTTGGCTGACTTCAAGGCAGAAATGGCATAGTGGAAGACATAGCAGAAGCTGGCTGCTCACCCATGGCAGCCAGAAAACAGAGACAGAAGGGAGAAACCAGGGACAAAGCATATACCTTTCCACGTCCTACTCGTGACTCTCCCATTCTTACCAAGTCTCAATTCTGAACACATAACTTTTGGGGGACATTTCAGGTCTAAACCATAACACTGATATGAATTGATTTGGACTTTCTATTTGAATTTTCTTTTTATTATGATGTCTTCTGTCACTCTTTCACCCTAATGCCTTTTCTCATTCTAGTTCTCAAATTCTACAAGCATCTGTATTGTAACTGCTGAGTAATCTTACATTATCATATTCTCCACATAAATGCCAATCATCCATCAAGCCCTTTCTTCCGCAAAGAGTCCAGATTAAAAATTGGTATTCTAGATTTTTAAAAAGTTATAATAAATTTAGATTAACTAAGCCTATTCAAATTAAATGAAATTAATATATCAGCAGCTGTAAAAGTAAACAACCATAAGCTGTAGCTTCCAGAATGTATAATGCTAAATGGAGAGGCACAGGAACATTCCCATCAAAGTCAGGAATGAGAGACTGGGGATTTAGCTCAGCAGCCTAAGTGCCTGCCTGGTAAATGGGAGGTTGTGAGTTCAATCCCCAGTATCCCCCCCAAAAAAAGTCAAGAATTAAAAAAAAGAATAACCTTATCATAATTTTTATTTATTTAAAGATATGTGCCATTGCAATTAGACTGAAGTAAAAATAAACAGTAAAAATAAAAATGAAGATTTGTGTGACTTTTCTTTTTTTGCTCAAGATTGCTTTGGCTAATTAGGGTCTTTTATGATTCTATATAAACTTTAAGACTGTTCTGTTTCTTTTCTTCAAAAATTCATTGGAATCTTGATAGATTGCAATGAATAACTGGGTAATATAAACATTTCAACAATGCTAATTTTTCCAATCCATGAAGATAGGATATCTTTCCATTTACTTGTATCTTCTTTAATTTCTTCCATGAATGCTTTGTAGTCTTTAGTATATAGATCTTTTGCCTCCTTGATTATTTACAAGTATTGTATTTTTTAGCTGTTGTCATTGGATTGCTTTCTGATTTCTTTTTTAGATTTCTTATTAGTATATATAAATACTATTAAGTTTCATATGTTGATTTTGTATCATGAAACCTTACTGAATTTGTTAGTTCTAACAATTTTTTTTAAGGAATGGCACAGCCAATAAACAAATAACATAGTAGAGAGGCAACATATAGTGTGAAAGAAAACATTTCTGGTCAGGGGTTAATATCCAAATGTATAAGGAACTCAACTCAATAGTAAGAAAACAAATAATCCAACTTAAAATTGGGCCAAGGACCTGAATAGAGATTTCTCAGAAGAAGACATACAAATTGAACAACAAGTATATGAAAAATGGTAATATCACTAATTATCAGGAAAATGCAAATAAAGGCCACAATGAACTTTCTCTTCACACCTGAGAAAATGGCTATTAAAAAAATTTTTTTAAACTTCAGTAGGGGCTTCTAAATAAGAAGGTAGAGTAAAAGTATCCTTCACATGACTTCAGTTGAGAAGAGTCAGAGCAACAAAGGATAAACTGTATTTCAAGGAGAAGAAAAAAAGAGCTCTGGAAATCAAAAAAGGAATAATGGAAAAGTTAAAATGTAGGGGGAAGCAGAAAGGCAGTTCAAATAAAACCATGAAGTAGTCCACAGCTCTCCAAATATATGTTCCCAGGGAATATAGACAGATAAAGATGGAAACACTTCACATGACATACAGGAGTAGATAGAATCAATATTATTCCAGTGTTCACACTAGCAAAAGCAATCAACAGATTCAATGCAATCTCCTTCAAAAATATCAATGATATTCTTCATAGATTGGAAAACACATTTCTATAAATTCATATTCCCCTCAATGTGAAAAAAAAGAGGCAAGATATGTGCACAGGCACAAATTTCCTATGATGAATGCTATCTTTACATATGTCTAAAGCAAAATTTTTTAAATAAAAATAAATTTCGTATAAAAATACAAGAAGCCCCAAATAGGCAAAGCAATCTGAGCAAAAAGAACAATGCTAAAAGCATCACAATACCTAATTTCAAAACATACCATATAGCCATTATAACAAAAATGGCATAATACTGGTACCTGATTCTCAACAAAAGAAGCTTAAAAACATGTACAGAAGAAAACCACATCTTCAACAAATGTTCCTGGAACTAGATCCTTATCTTTCACTGCGTAGTCAGCTTTTCATCACTGAAAAAATACCTGGCATACACAATTTAAAGGAGGAAAGGTTCATTTTGGTTCACAGTTTCAGAGATTTCAGTCCACTATAAACTGGCTCCATTGTTCTAGGCCTGTGGCAAGGCAGAAATGTCATGGCAGAAGAATGCTGCAAGCCAGGCATGATAGTGCTTGCTTGTAATCCCAGCACTTTGGAGGCTGAGATAGGAGGATCACTTCAACACCAACCTAAACTACATAGAGAGTTAAGGCAAGTCTGAACTACAAAGTGAGAATCTGTCTCAAAAAGCAAACAAAAAAGAAGGCTGTTGTACAGGTAAGTCGCTCACTTCGTGGGAACCAGAAGGAGATGAGGGAGAGAGACATAGACTCAGAGAGTCAATACTAGTGGGCTTCTTCCTCTTTCTGCTGCTTTTTTTTCCACTGTAGCTCCCACCCTATTAAATGATCCATGTTCAGGACAGTTTTCCCCCATTAGTTTGATATATAACCTGATAATTGTCTCTGGGGAAATCCTCACAGACACACTTCTCAGTTCAATAAAGTTCAGCTATCACATTCACCCTATATAAAAATCAAAATGGATCAAAGACCTTAATGTAAGATCTGAAAATTGAAACTACTAGAGGAATCTTTGAGGAAAATACCTCAAGTTGATAGAGGCAATAATTTCCTGAACATGATTCTAATAACTCAGGAAATAAAACTAAAAATTGCCAGTGAAATTTCAACAAATGAAAAAGCTTCTACACAGCAGATGACAATCAGATTGAAGGGACAATTTACAGAATGGGTGAAATCTTTGCCATCCATTTCTGTGCTGTGATTAATATCCAGACTATATAAAGAACTCAAACATTTTGACACAAAATAATAAGTAATCCAGTCAGTAAGAGGGCAAATGACTTCAATAGATACTGCTTAAAGAAGTATCAATGGCCAATAATTATATTAAAAAATACTCAACACCTTTAGTGATCAGAGAAATGTAAATTAAAACTACACTGCATTTCCATCTCACTTCAGTCTGAATAACTACTATTAAAAAAATCAAAAATGGCAAATGTTGGCAAGGATACTGAGTGAAAGTAACTGTTCCACACTCCACACTCTTGATGGGAATATAAATTTTTATAGTCACTATGAAAAACAGTATGGCAGGGGTTGGAAAAAGATGGTGGATAGATAACAGCAGGCTACAGAGGCTCCCTGAGACACTCAACTTAGATTCCAAAAATAATATAGCGTGGAGAGTCCCAAACAGAGGGAGATAGATACTCCTGACACAGGAACAAACGAAGCTGAGAGAAACCAATTAAATATACAGTCCCAGTGCTACTATTGGAACAGCTAAAGGCTTGGTGCTTCCACTGCAGCACTTGAACTCATGCAGCTGAGACTTACCAAGCTACCTGAAAGTGTGCTGTCGCTTTCAGCTCACTGCAGATACACTCGCACTGAGGATGGGAGTTGGCAAACCGAAAGAAGAGCTGAGCTGGTGTGGACCTGCATCGACCTGTGGTGAGTGACGGGAATAAAACCCTTCCATAGAAAAAGGGGCTCCAACAGACTCTATTCTGGGACCAGGCAGACTGGTGAGAACAAGGAGCTGCAATGACTTCAGTCAGCTGCTCCTTTCTCAAGCGGGATTGGTGGGGAGCACTTGACCTCCTCGGTCATGCCCCAGACTGAGACCTAATAGGCTAGCCCAAACCAAGTCCCTATGCCTGGCAGTGCACCCTAATGTAGTGAAGCCCTCAGCAGGTTGACTAACCCAGAGGGGAGGGCACAGCATAGGCTGCCCTGGTCTGTACCTCCATTGTACATTGTAGTGAGTAGGAACACCTAGTCAGCGTGCTTCAGATGAACTGTAACCAACAAAAAAAAGAAACTGGGGCCTCCTATATACACCTGTATGGAAGGAACAAAACATATGAGAAGAGGAAGCAACAAGAAAGGGTCCCTAGTCTCCAGCCCTTAGAACATTGATCCAGAAAAGGTAAATGCAAAGGAGATTGAAGACAGCAAGCATGCAGTATCAGACACGGCACCAGTGGACATAAAGCGATATCTTCAGGACCTTATAGACAAGTTCAAAAGTGAAGTATTTAACCAAGTAAAGCAAGATATAAATAGAACAATAAAAGAAATTCTAAGTACCTCTCAAGAAAGAACAGATGGAAGAATGGAGAAACACAAAAAAAGGGGAGAATTGTTTGATGAAGAAAATAGAGAATACAGAATACATGAAGCAGGTTCAAAGAGATTACTAGGAAATTAAAAACTCCATTGAAAGCTGGCAAATCTGCTTGAAAAAAAACTAAGGATAGATTATCCGAACGGGGGGTCAGGTTTGCAATATGGGATCATGAAAGGAAAAATTTCTTAAAAATAACAAGGAAACAAGCAGTAACAATACAGAGGCTAGAAGATGACAAGAGGATCTATAACTTAAGAATAAAGAATGTGAATGAAGAAGCAGGGGTACAAAGGAACTACAAAGGCTATTCACAGAAATAATTAAGGAAAACTTCCCAAACATAGGAAAGGAAAAGATATTCAGATATATGAGGCATACAGAACTCCAGCCACCTACAACTAAAACAGAGCTACACCCAGGCATATAATAGTCAAGATCCCAGAAATCCAATATAAAAACAGAATATTAAAAGCTGTCAGAGAAAAGAAACAGATTACTTACAAAGAAAAGCCCATCAGAATTTCAGCACACTTCTCGGCACAAACCATCAAATCGAGAACAGTGTAGAGCAAAGTATTCCAAGCCCTGAAAGAAAATAACCTCCAGCCCAGACTTGATGTACCCTGAAAAATTGTCCCTAGAAATTAATGGAAAAACAAGATACTTCCAAGATAAAGAGGAACTGGGGGAATTCACTACCACCAATCCAACTCTACAGAGGATACTGCAGGACATTCTAAAGAAAGAAAAAGCACCAGGATTTCAGGAACAGTGGCAGAGAGGCCCCAATGAATGGAGCAAAAAGTGAAATGAAGAAAACAAACAGACATTGATGGAAAAAGAACACAACAGAAATGAGGCAGAGAAGGTTGGATATAATTTCTAGTATAGGTGGCCTAGATGCACTAAATTAAGGAAAAAAAGAGAGAATCACCAGCAGAGTGGATCAAAAGGTAGGGTCCACCAAGATGCTACTTATAGGAAATATAATTAACCTGAAAGGGTATATGGACCAAAAATCAAATATGAGAAAACAGAACTCTAAGTGTTAGGGAACCAGAGAGTAATAGAGGCAACTGGACCAGTATTTATGGATAGGTTGGAAAGACAGGCTTTAATAGGTAAAGAAATACAACTAGAGATCAAGTCCAGGAGTGAGAAAGTTCAGAAACACTTAGGTAAATAGCAGGTTGCCTCCACAATATAAAACCGAGGGTGTTGGGGAGACCCAAAAATGCATAGTACACCCTGGAGGAGTGAAAGGGGAGGGATAGTCTTTAAAAAGACTGCAGAAGATATTGCTAATAGTGTATCCGGAATTAAAACCCATATTAGTAACACCACTCTACTTAGATAGAATTTATTCCATCCCAGTCTGTACACAAGCACTAGATCTGAGGGCACAGACAGCTATCCCAAAAATATCAGGATATAGCACAGTAATCGTCTTAATTTCCTTTTAACTTAATCTGGATCCCTATATAACTTATACTGTTATATCATGACTGATCTTAGTTAAATCTGATTTGTTTGATTGCTGTTCGTTATTAACAGATTTTATTCAAAACTGTTAAGGTTGATAGTATCAAGTCTGAGAGTATAGACAACTATACCGAAAATGACAATGATTCACTATGATACCCATGCTGGTTTGATTACTACCTGTTTTTGTAGTTCTACACTATCTACAAAGTTGTATTTCTATTAATACTGTTATGTACTGATATATTCAATTATACTTTATCTGATGATATAGCCAGTTCTATTGATGATAACAAGAGACAACACAGTAACCATGGTAAAACTCCTTGTACAGCAGTTTTATATGTCTTTTTAGTTCTATGTATCTATATAGATACATATGTTTTGTTCTGTCCTGCTTTGTTCTGTTTCTCCCTCTAATATAGAAAGGATATAAATACATATTAAGACTCATGCTTGCATAAAACCTATAAACAGTTTACAAGAACTGATCTTATGACATATGATAAAATGAACAAATACTTTGAAGGAAAAAAAAGCACTACAGTACCCAGTGCTGATTCTGGAGTGTCATGATGTGAAATCCAGCAATATTATTATTCTTTGTTCAGAGTGATTTTAGTCTTCTTTGGTTTGTTTAATCTCAACATAAATGAAGATACAGATAAATGTGTGTGTTTAAGTGTATAAGATTGATAATCGTATTACTAAGTTTTTGTTAGATAGTTGAACAGAACTATTTGCAGTCTCCCTGTTTGAATTCTCATTTATATGTTCCAGTTTTGTATCTTGAACAATTATTTGTAAGAAGACAATATGTAAACATCAACTAGTGATTTATTCCTGTTTATTTTTTTCTTTGAAAGTATGTAATATTTCTACCCATTTTCTGTTTTGTTTTGTCTTTCTTTAAATAATTTTTTTAAAAAAGAAAAACAGTATGGTAGTCTTTTAAAAAAAAAAAACTAAACTAGAACTACTGTATGATCAGATCTCACTCCTGGGTATATAGCTAAAGGAATCCAAGACAGCATATGATACAGATAGCTGCACATCCATCTTTATGACAACACTACTCACAATTACCAAGTTACAGAATCAGCCTAGATATCCATCAATAGATGAACGGATAAATGTGTATGTATATTCAATGAATTATTATTGAGTTGTATTCAATGAAATGTCATTTGCAAGGAAATGGATGGACCTGAAAATCATTGTGTTGAGTGAAATAAGCTAAGTCAGACAAGTATGAAAGTTTTCCCTCATTTGTGGAATACAAAAAAAAAAGTAACATGAAAATAGATGATAGAATTTACAGAAGATGAAGGAGGCCATGAGGATGGGAAAGAAACAGTAAAAACTGGCAATAAGTATAAACAAATTATGATATATGCATATATGAAAACATGTCAGAACACATCATATTGTTCAAGTAATGTGTGGTAATAATTATTATAAAAAATCTCAGAGTGTGGAAAAAGACAAAAGATAATGAATGTTAGTGAATATGTAGGAAAAAGGAACTCTTGTACACTGTTTGTGGGAATGTAAATTAGTATCATATTAAGAAACACAGTATAGAGTTTCCTCCAAAATTAAAAAAATATATATGCCCATTGATCCCACTTCCATGTATATATCTAAAGGACGTGAAGTAAGTATGTCAGAAAGATATTTGTACTTTCATATTCATTACAATGTTACTCACAAACGCTGAGATATAGAATCAATCCAAGTGTCTATCAACAGGTGAAAGTTTTGAACAATTTTCTAACCACTGGAAAAAAGAGTCCTCATTCCACGCACATCCCATGCTTTGCTTTCCTGGGACTGGTCTTCTGTCAAAGGAGTTCTGCAGAGTCCAACTGCTGTCTCCTCGCTGCTCCTTCGGATGCTTACAGTACATTACTGGTCTCGCTGATTACGTCACCCGTCAAGGTCTGTGTGCGCGTCTGTGTGCTGGGCTGTTGTCCTGGGTCTTGAGTTTCCTGCAGGACTTAACCTCTTCCAACTGTCCCGCCGAGTTTTTATTACTTTAATCTTTGTTTATTTTTGAGCTTTTTATATATTTGCTCTGTTTTGGTAAGACCTGTGTTTCTAAATATTTTACTTCTAAATTCTCTAACTTATTGGAATATCAATTTTCAAAATAGCTTCCAATACTGTGATTCTCTGGATTTCAGGTCTGTTATAATTTTGCTTTTTCATCTTTAATTTTATTAACTTAGACCTTATTTGTCTTTTGGTGAGTTTGGCTAAGGGTTTATCAGTCTTGTTTTATCTTTTCAAAGATCAAATTCTTTAATTCATTGATCCTTTGTATTGTTATTTTAGTTCCTATTTCGTTAAATTTTGCTCCAATTTTTATTTTTTTCTCTTCTGCTGGGTTTTGGTTTGCTTGGTTCTTGGTTTTCCCGAAACTTTAATTTATACCATTAGATTATTTATGTAGGATTACTCTATTTTTCTAATGTAGACATTCACAGTTATAAAGTTCCAAGTTGCAAATGCTTTCATTGTGTCCCAAAGATTCTGATATATAAAATTCTCGTTATCATTTGATTCTAGGAATTTAAAAATTTTAAATGTTTTCATCTCACACAATAGATAAGTATGTGAGAATAATGCATATGTCAATTAGTTTGCAGTAGCCATTTCATAATGTCTACATATTTCAAAGTACGTTATATACCATAAACATATACAATTTTCATTTGGCAAATTTAAAATAATTTTAAATAAACATGTATTAATCTTAAAATAAGAATATTGAACCAATGTGTAAATTGCAGTAGTTAATTGAAAGCCCAAGTAGTAAAATAATAAATTTAAGGAGACAAAATAAATACAAATTTCACACTTTCAAACAACCAGCTAAAAGAAGTGATACAAGAAACAATCCCATTTTATAGCTTTTAAAAGGATAAAAGAATAGACATTGCATGAAATATGCACTATCATTATGAAGAAAAATTTAAAATATGAAGAGAACAAAAAGTACTTAAAAGCAATTATCATATTTGGATAGGAAAATACAAAGTCATTGCAACATATATTCTTCTTAATTTTTTTAGTTTATTTGAAACTTGAGAGGCTAATTCTTAAAAATTTATTGTACAATAATGAAAATGAGTTTAGTGGAATATGAGTAGATCAACAATTCAAAGGAAAAAAGCTATAAAATGAATACATTGGTCCAAATATACACAGTAATTAAATAAATGTTCTATTTTTAGGCAGAGAAAAAATAGGTTATTCAGTAAATGATGCTAGGACAACTGAGCAGACATCTGAAAAAATAGCTGAACTTCTACTTCATAGATTATATCAAAATGATTTCCAGATGAATCAAAACTGTCACACTAAAAAAAACCCATAAATTACCAGAAAATAAAAGAAAATCCATTTACTTCACTACAAAAAAATCATGTCACCATAAAAAAGGCAAAAGACAGATGGAGGAAATTTTTGTAATTCATCTCAGAAACAAAGGGCAAATTTTCTTAACAGATAAAAACATTTGCAAATCAGTATAAAAAGGTCAACAATCCAGAGGGGGGAAAATGAGCAAATTATATACACTAACAGTTCAGAGGAAGGCTGGGTGGATGGCCTGTGAAGATAGACCCAGCTACCCAGGAAGCTGAGTCAGGAAAAACAAGAGTTCTAGGCCTACCTGGGCAACATAGCAAACATGATGAAATCATCTCAAAAACAGATAATTAGTTTAGAACAAAGGAAGTATATATTATGATAAATTTAAAGTTTATCAAAATATGATAGCACTTGATTTGTATTGATGTGAGGAAACTGGCACCTCACATATTGATAGTGGAATGTACATTTGTATAAGAGCAATGAGAAATTTGATATTAGGAAGAATTCTTTTCAGTTCATTTTTTTCTTTTTTATTGTTTTGAAAAATGCTTAGGTTCTTTTTTATTAGTATATGTTTGTGATATATAACAATTGAAAGAGTTGCTGGCCCAGACCGTACACTTTAACCAGGAAAAGCCTCAGCCAAGTTAGGGGGCTCCTGCCTCCCCCGCCCCTATAGATTTACCTGTAACCCTATACCCCCATCCCTAAGAACCTGTCCCTGGCGCCAAACGTGTGCCAATGAAATACCTGTGCATCCCTAATGCCCCTTGGGGTCCACCCCAGACAGAGGCTACTTATGGGCCTCACTCCATGTGTTCGACAGAAGAAGAAAGAGAGAGTGTGTTCCAGAGAGAGACCGCCGCCCCAGGTGGAGATGCTGCGCCCCGGGGCTGGGGGGGGGGGGTGTCTCTCCCCGCATTCCCGAAATAAAGGTTACTTATATTTTATATTTCTTATCTTTACAGCCACCGCCGCCCCCTCCTTTCACGGCCGTCCACTCCACTCCTTCCACAGACCTCTTTCCCTTCCCCTTCCTTTCCCCTCTTCTTCCTCCTCTTCTCAGACCTAACAACAATTACATTCATCTTGGAAAATTGGCCCATGTACATATCACAGCTTAGTCAGTTTTACTTCTCCATCCCTCCCCACTCTCTCATCCCCCCCAGTCACCAGATTCCCTTCCCATCCACGGTCTGCCACCCTGTTTCCTATCAGCTTTTATCTTGGTCTTTAAATTACTTTGATATTTATCAAGATTTTAAAAGCATACTTTTAGCCCGGCAATTTCACCCCTTGAAGTTTATTGTACAATTACATTTACATATCTATGGAATTATACATAAATAAAAATATAATCATTGTCGTAGTAAAAGTGAAAATGAAGTAAATATATACTTCTGAGTGGCTAGTACTACATATTATAGTATCATTAAAAAGAAAAAAGAAAGGAGAAATGGTGAGGAAAGATCTCCAAGATATATTGTTAGATTCAAAACAATAGAATATAACAGGGTATGTACTAAGCTACCATCTAAGTAGGAGAAAGAGAATATATATATATATATTCGTATACACACATGAACACACACATATGCATTATGTAAGGTAAATGTAGACATTTTTCAGATGAAACTGAAGTTTGGGAAACAAGCTGGGGGTGCATGCCTGTAAGTGCAGCATTTAGGAGACTTTTTAATTATAGCACAGTTAATAAAGAACACTGAATAAGAATCTAGGAAATCTAACCATGGAATTCCTATTCTTTACTAATCTACATTGTTTTCAGTACAGCAGAGAGTGAGCAGGCTAACTTAGTGATTTGATGTAAGATTTTTTTACTTTGTAAAGGTATAAAAATTGTACACACTCAGTAGAAACCATACTTTGAGTCTTGAATTTTGTTTGCTGTTTTCCCAGGCTCGTGATATATACTTGATAGTTTCTCACATTGCTGGGTAGCTACCACATAACCATGAGCATAAACAACTGGATTCTCCATAGTGTGTTACAAAGATAGAATATTTGGTAATAGTTGTAGTTTTCCATTGACTTCAATCACAGGACATGGGGTACTAAATTATGCCCAAGGGGATTCTCCTGTATCTCACAGTTATTCCTGACTACCCATTGTAATGTAATCCAGTTTCTGGTTGGCTGTCAGACCAGTCAATCACTGAAGTATACAAATCCCTTTCTCTGGTGTGTTGATCCAAATGCATGAAAGGACAAAGGGCCATGAAGTTCAATAAAGCATTGTGATCTGCCCTAATTCCCTATTGATGAATAACGTATTACCTCACACCTAGTCGCTTAAAACAACAAAGATTTTCTTTTTCTTTGTAAAACACAGTATCACTATATAGTTCAGGGTGGTTTTGAACTCACTATGTGTCCTAGGCTGGCCTCAAATTCATCAATCCTGCCACAGACTCCCAAACGCTGCACTTACAAGCATGTACCACCAGATCCAGCCTGCAAAGATTTTTTATCTCACAATTTCCATGGGTCAGAAGGAGTCCAAAAATATTAACTGGTTCTCTATTTGGAATCTCTCAAGGTTGCAACCAAGATGTTGGCTGGGCTGACATTTCCTATTTCACTCTGTGAACTATTTTCTCTGCTATGTAAAAGTCTTTTAGGTTGGTGGAATCCCCAGCTGTCTAATTTTGCTTCTGTTGCCTATGCTTTTGGATATGTAGCCAAGAAATCTTTGCCAGGAGCAGTGTTGTAGAAATTTTCCTGTTTTCTACAGTTGCAGGTCTTATATTTAAATCTTTAGTCATTTTGAGTTAATATTTTTACCATTATATAGGATCAGACAAGGATCTAATTTCATTCTTCTATATACAGTGCTCCAGCTTTTTCTGCACCATTCGTTGAAGAGACTGTCTTTTCTATTTCATTTGTTCTTGGTGCCTTTGTCCAAAATAAAACTGACATAAATGTATCACTCTATTTCTAGGCTCTCTATCCTATTCATCTGGTCAAAGTGTATGTTTTTATACAAGTATCATGCTGTATTGAGTACTACTATAGCTTTGTACTATATTTTGAAATCAAATAGAGTGATACTTCTAGCTTTGTTCTTTTTTTTTTTTTTTTTACACTTTTTTTTTCTTTTTACCGGTACCAGGGATCGGACTCACGACCGCCTGCTTGCTTGCAAGGAAGGTGCTTATGCCGCTGAGCTAAATCCCCAGCTTTGTTCTTTTTGTTGAAGATTGCTTTAGCTATTTGGAGTCATTTGTATTTCCATATATATTTTTAAGATTGTTTTATATTTTTGTGAAAAACATCAGTAGAATTTTGATGGAGATTACATTAAATCTATAGGTCACTTTAGGTAATATGGACATTGTAACAGAATTAACAAAATTAGTTCATCTATCAATATAAAATAAGTTTCCATTTAGTGTATCTTCTATTGCTTTCATCAACATTGTACAGTTTTTGGTATATGAATCTCTTATCTCCTTGTTTAAATGTATTCCTAAACATTTTTACATGCTTTCATAAATGGGAAGGTTTCCTTAAATTTTTTTGATAGTTCATTGTTACAATACAGAAACACTAACACAATGATTTTTATGTAATAATTTTGCTTCAAGTGATTTTATTAAATTTTTTAGTGGAATTAGTTTCCTACATATAAGATCATGTAACTAACAATTTTGATTGATCCTTCTAATTCAGATGCCTTTCATTTCTTTCTTTTGTCTTACCGCTCTAGGTAGGAAGTCTAGTAAATGTTGAATAGAAGTAGTAAGAATGAGCATCCTTGTGTTGTTCCTAATCCTAGAAAAAAAATCTCAGCTCTACTGCGTATGATATTAGTTATGGGTTTGTCATAGATGCCATCTATGATGTTGAGGGACATTCCCTCTATACCAAATTGGTTGAGTTTTTATTTCTATTTAATTAAGTTTATTGGAACATTTTAGATGAATGTAAGGATCATATTCATCATAAGGAGTTTGTACCTGTGCATGATGTATCTTGATTTTTCTTTTTTTCCCCCCATTCCCCTACCTTCCCTTCAACCCCTCTTCCCCCACTTTGTTTACAAAAACTTTATTTTCATTTTTTCCTTCTTTTCTCTTTTTTCTTTCCCTTCCTTTCTTTACCCTTCCCATTTGACCATTTTCTTCATATTTCACAATATCTATAATACATTTTGGTCCTTATTTATGCTTAGTTTCTCACACCAGAGAAACAATGAGTTTTTTACGCATGTATCTGATTTATTTCACTTACGAATAACATTTTAAGCAGAGTGTGGTGGCTTATTCTTGTAATGCCAGCATTCAGCAGGTTGAGACAGAATGATCACCAAGAGTTCAAGGGCACTCAAGGTCAGCCTGACCTGCATAGTGAGACTCTGTCTCAAAAAAAAAAAAAAAAATCAATAATAATGATATAGAAGTTGTCAAACAGTGGAGAACTGCCGAGCAGACAGAATGCAACATATATTCATCAAACTTCATATGAAATCTAGGTAGAAAATAGTTTTATTTTTCCTTTTGTACTCTGGAAACATAGCTTCAGAGAAGACAGCTCACAGTGCAGGAAGAGAACGTGTGCACCTCACCACGCCGGCTCCTACAGGCCCTTTTGCTTGCTTGCTCTTCCCTGGGCGCCCACTACTACTGCCTGGCGTCCACTGCCCACCGGCCCCGCGCGCACGACCCTGTCTTGGCCTCCGCCCCGCGCAGAGCCTCCCGCAGCCAACGCCTCCTAGTCCCTGCGTGGCACCGTGCCAAGAAGCTCTTTATTCTGAAATTTCACAAGGTGTGACCACGTAAGAGCTCTTTTTACTTTGTGCTGTCATTCTGCTGGCCTTTTCATTTTCTGTCTTCCTTTTGCTCTAGGAAAACGTTTCTTTGTTCATTTATATTTATTTTTTCTCTGATACTGTCATCTTTTTCTTTATTTCATTTTGTTCTCTTAATGGTTTTCATTCCTCTCCTCTATGACCCTTATTGTGTTTGTAGTCCAAAGTGTTTTCCCTTGGGCACCTTGAAATTGAAACTTTTGTTTCCAAGATTACTTTGTGTTTTTCATCCTTTTCATGAGCTTAATCAATGCTCATTTTACATGTTCCTGCTTTTTTTCACTGAGTCGTTTTGAACTTAGTAGTCCAGGCAGATCCTTATTTTAACATGTTTAATTCAGGTTGCTGTGCTGTGTCATAGTTTCTTTGTTTTGTGGGTGGTTTTTTCAGCTAGAAGAGCATTTTGCCTGCTGACATTTTGATTCCCACTTTCTATCTTCTAATAATATATGGGACAGACTGGTGCTGTATAACATTTTGATCAACAACAAACCACAAACATGATAGTGATCCTATCAGATTATAATGGAAACAATTCCTGAGGCCTGGTGACATCATAGTTGTTATCATGTTATAATATAACACATTACTCACATGTTTGTAGTAACGGTGATTGTATTAGTCACTGTCCCACCACTGGGACAAAATATCTAACATCCAAACTTAGAGGAGAAAATGTTTGTTTGCCTCAGAGTTTCAGTGTGTTCATTTCATAGTTGGCTGGCTCCAAGACAGAAACAGCATGGTTTGGATGTGGTGGAAGACAGTTTCTCATCCTGTGACAGCCAGGAAGCAGAGGGAGCAGAGCCAAACATAAGAATATACTCTTTTAGGTCACCATACCATGATCCACGTCCTCTGACTAGGCCACACTGCCCACAGTAAACGAGGATGACTCTAGCCAGCCCTTGGTTCCAATCACCTACCAAAAGCCCCATCTTTGAAAATGAGACTTTTAGGCAGCATTTTAGATCTAAACCATAACAGTGGTGTAAACAAAGCTACTGTGCTGCCAGTCATATAACTTTATAGCACACACAATTATGTAGAGTATGTAAAACTTGATAGTAGCAATAGATGATTATATCACTAGCTTATGTATTTACTATATTATAATTTTGTCATATTAGTTAGTTTGTACTCAAAAGAATATATACAGCCTCAGAAATTGAATCCAGGCCCATTACCCTGAGCTACACCCTCAGAGCAGTCTTAAATTTGTGATCATCCTGCCTCAGCCTCCCAAAGTAATAGGATTATGGAGTTGTGCCACTATAGCCAGTTAATGGGATACTTCCTATATATAAAGCTTTACAGATTATATCTAATTTCAATTCTAGATTTTACTAGAAAGCAATTTATTTGTGTGTATCATGAATCACAAACATGTTCCTATCCTAAAGAAGTACTTATCAATGGGGGGAAATATTTTTGTTCAAGATTATTTACTGTCACATTGTTCATAATAGGAAAACTTTAGAAATAGCAGAAAGTCTTCTGTTGAGTAAGTTGTATAGTCATTTTAGGCACATAATTGTGAAAACTTTTGAAAAAACACGTTAGATATGAGAAAGTAGCCATAGTAACAATGACTAAAAGAATGATGGGAAGCTATACATCGAAGAATCCTATATGTAATATATAAATCCAAAAAAGCAGGTTCAAAGTATTTCAACATACTGTCACTGATTTTATCTAATTATTGATTTATGTATGATTAACTTTCTTGTTTATATTTTTCAAGTTTTTAAAGTCAAGACAAAATTATATTTTAAAAAATTTCAAAATCATTTTTCTCCCACTCCACTCCATTCTTTGCTCCCACACTTCTGACTAGATGCCCAGAGCCTGGTGTGCGTGTTGGGGGAGCACATTATTCATCTTTCATTCCATGTTATAAACTGCTAGGATACCCTGGGGCTCCTTCACACCAAAGTATGTATACTTCATGAGGTAGTGAGAAAAAGCAAATCTTTTACCCTCACAAGGGAAGAAACATCATGTCAGGGTAAATGAGAAGACAAACACGTGAAAGGAAATTGGGGAAAAAGAAGATCAGTATCACCTGCTTCATATTTCTGTGGGGCTCTCAGCCTTGTTCAGACATTTCTATTCTGACATAGTCTGGGGAGGCAGTCTAGTCAGGAAGTTGCCACAACTGCCAGTTGCTGAAACTTACTGCTTGCTTCGGGCCAAAGCTATATCAACTTCCCTGAGCAGGAGACCAAAAAAAGATAATAAGGGCCTTTTATAACATGAATTTACAGTATAAACACTATCCTGTGATAATGGAAAAACTACAAATGAATCCAATGAAAAAAGAAGTTGGTTCTTTTTGGAAGGCATTTTCTAGTGTTCATCTGGTGCCAGAAAAGAAAAAATGCTCAGATATGTGACTGGCAGAAGACGACTATGTAAAACCAGTAATAGCTAAATAGGGATGGTAGCTGACCATAGCCAACTGCTAGCTAAATGTAGGGAATGTGATAAAGACAAAGAAGCTGCAGGGTTAAGATATGAACTCAAAGGCAATGTTTATCAAGTAATTATTCTAGGTAAAGTAACTGTCAGATATTATTCATTAATTTGTCTTTTCATTTAATTCTTACAACACTGTGAAGTAGCTATTATATCCAGTTTATTAACTAGAAAGCAAACTCATGGAAGCAACTCACTAAAAATAAAACCGTTCAACAGATAGAACTTACCTAAGGTTAAGATTTGCCTTTTCCCTAACAGTGACATAACTGTTGACAAAGGCAGTGCCAAACTGGGAAAAACTATCATACTGAAGAAAAACCAGAAGAGTGAAATTAATGTGTGTGGAGCAGAATAATAGTAGACAAACACTGCAGTTTTAGTGCTAGATCAATTGTAATCATATGCTTCTTATTTTTAGTTTTTAATCTTTTTATTCTGTGGCATCTTTATATGTGACTAGATTTATTATGTCCAGAGACCTTGGTTCTGAGTCCATCTCTATCATTAGCTTATAAAGAACTTTGTATTTAATGTCTATATATCAAGCATATTCTATTTCTAAATTAAAAGAATATATGCTGAATCACTAATGTAATAAGGAGGTAGACAACTAGTAGCAAAGCCACTTCTGTTCATTTTCCCTTGAATTAACTCTCAGTTTTCTTTTCCTTCAGGAACATTAAAATCCTTTGAAAGAAAGCTTAGTCAAAGATACAATCCAATCAAAAGAAATTAGATATATTTATTTGAGAAAACAAATTTGGATCAACTCCTAAATTAATAATGGTTCATTCAAACTGAAGAAAAAGTGACAGATTCCAATAATGATGTTATGTTATTTAATTTGAATGTTTAGGGAAATACACAAAATTTTCTGTTAAGGGCAATATTTGCAAAATTTAACTGTGCTAATGTCTCCATTTAATGTCCAGAAGTAATTGAGATTAGTACCATAGTGATATTATTATTCCATTTGTTTCTTCTTACCTTTTGTTTTTAATTTTGTTTAGTACATGTTTGCAGTTCATGCTGTTTACAGACATCTTGGGGAGTGGTTACATTTACACACCACAGCTCGTTTCTTCTTCTTTTTTTAAAATTCCCTTTCCCTTTCCTCCCCCTCTCCCTCCTTCTCTAATTTTGCTGTTTCTTTTTACCTCATGATAGCAAGGTGCATTCTTAGATGACTGAAAAATATAATGAAAAAGAAATTCTTCCTTGACAATATGATATGGATGATCAATTTAAAAATCAAGTGTTTGAGCTTTGTCTCATCAATTAAATATATTTAATCAAGTAAGCCAACTTTGAGGGAGGAAAAACAAACACCAGTTAAGTTTAATTTATTCAGCAGTTGTCAAGAACTACACAGAGTCTGCAATTTCACCCTACTTACAGCTGAAAAATTAGTCTGTGCTGGCTTTCTTGCCTGCTGGAAAATGACACAAGACTCTAAAGGACTTCATTAAAGCAAAAGCAGTAGCCAGAGAGTCAGCATAAACTCGCTTCAGGCCCCACCTCACCCCCAACTCCCATAGAAGTGAGATCTATCATAGATAATGTATTAGTTTTCTCAGGCTACAATAAAAAGCAAAGTATCATACAACTGGACAACTTAAATAATAGGAATTTATTTTTCACATTTCTATGGGCTAGCAGCCTGAGATCCCAGTGTTAACAGGGTTGGTTTCTTCTACGGGCCGTGAAGGAAGGGTCTATTCCATCCCTCTCATTTGCCTAAATGGCCATCTTTTTGTGTCCTTACCCTGGTTTTTTTTTGGGGTTTTTTTTTTTTTTTTTGGTGTTAGAGTATGTTCAAATTTCTTCTCATTAAGATTCCAGTCATTTTGGATTAGAGCCTTTCCTAGTGACTTCATTTTAACATGGCCATCTTTTTAAATACTCTGTCTCCAAATATGATCATATTCTGACATACTAGGGCTTAAGATTTCAACATATGAACTTGGAAGATGGACAAATAGATCAGTCTATGATATATGCTTACATATATAGTGAAGTACGTTATAGGGGAGGACCACTGACATTAGCAGATTCATCATGGAAACAAGCTTGCTATTTTCCAGGGCTGCTTTATCTCATTCTTCAAGTTTGCTGCAAACACAACCCTAAGAAAAGCCCTATATAAAAAGTATTCTTAATATACTCAGCAAAGATGTCCAATAATGTGGATTGCCTTTCCGAAGCCAATGTAGTCAAAATATTAAATTAATAACTGTACCATAGTTAAAGTCTTTATCAATTCAGGTTCTGATTTATGTGGCTTGTAAAATTGGTTTCACTTCTCTCATAATTATCTACATTGAAGAAAAATTTAAGCCATGTACTTTTTCTAATTTTCCATAATTATATTTACAAATATCCTCAATACTAATTAGGGAATAAGTTTAGAGCTTAGTCAACTCTTGTGTTGTCTGCGTTTTTTCCCTTTCAGTGCTGGGAATTAAGCACAGGGCTTGCACATGCTGGACAAGCACTCCACTACGGAGTATATCTACAGCCTGCTGCCTACTTTCGTTACATAGAGTGGGAAGTATTTTTTAACTTGAAGAGATGATTTCTTTACAACTTCATAGTTGTTTATATCAAAAATATGTTAAAAGTAATTAAATAATTCTTATTCCAACAGATGGAATCACCCATTGTATATGTAATAATTTTACTTTTGAACATGTTGGAATTTTCTTCAGGAATAGTACACAATAATGGTAAGCATCTGGTTATTATTTCCTGTTTCCTACTTAGGAGTTCTCATTTATATCCCTCTTTTATTTATAGTTAAAATCTTTTCCCTTTGGTATGTTATCTTTACCATATCTGACGTACAAGTTTCTAATAATATCATTTGAAAATATTGTTTCTAAGTTGTATATTCAAAAGACAAAATATTTATCTCTTGCTGTAGTATTTGATCACTTGTAAGACACAGAATATTTAACATTTAAAGAGGATTTTATATTTGCAAAACTTTAATTATTTGAAGATAGACATTTTAAAATTCTCTCATCCATGAGTGGCTTTAGGTAGTATGAATGGTAAATTGAACTATCAAGGTAGAAGATCAAAACTGAGGAGAACTTCCTGAAAGTAATATACAGATTGGATTAGTCAAAAGCACTTTTATGGCATAAAAAAACATTATAATGGAGCAAAACAAATCCATGCCCATTTGTGTATATTTTTTAGATTCTGCAGCATTCTGGAAAGGATTCAGACATCTTCTGTTCACAGATGTGATGCTGAGTTACATAAGTTCTGGGATGACCCTGGCTTAATTCCTACATTCTTTTAGAGAATATATGACATATAGGTGAATCTATTCGAGCAGGAGAAAGTCACAGACATCAGAGATTTCAGAGAAGGGAGTGGTTCCTTCCAGCTGTGTAGAAGGGCATTGTTAAGGAAGACTTTGAACAAAAGAGAACAATCCATTAGGTCCCTAAATGAGTAATATCTGCATATGCACATATTCAGAAGAGTATTCTACAAGACAACGTCAGGGTGCATGGTGAGCACTATGGAAGGAGGAGATCACAGACTGTGTAAAGGGATAAGTAAACAGTTCAGTCGGACAACGATGAAAGATACAAATAAAATATTCTGGAAATATGGGAAGCTGGTGCATACTATCCAAGTATTTGACATTCCTTAGAGTGCCAGACTAAGGAGTTTCAGTTTCATTCTGTCAGCATTGGGAAGTTATTTAAGATTACTGGCAGGACAGTAACATACCATACTTCTTAGCTACTTTTCTCTAAGATAAAATATCTGACACCTAGAGTTATGGGGAAAGGTTTATTTTGCTCACAGTTTGTAGAGATTTTAGTCCACAATCAGCTAGCTCCAAAGCAGGGCAGCACATGGCAGAGGGACAACCATTCATGGTGGCAGAAGTCAACAAGAGAATTTAACATGTCTTTCTGCCCCCTTTATCCTACCCACCCTGCTGGGATTACTGCAGTGCCAAATCAATTAGTGGACTGATTTAGTAGTCAGACACGCTTACACACTCTAGCCACCTCTGAAAACCTATGAGCATGTGAGGCTTTGGGGGACATCTGGACACAATGTTACTCTAGTTTACATTAAGTGGCAGGCTCAGGGAGGGAAGAATTTTCCTCTACTCTGTTAGATTCTGTGGTTGGGGCTTATGAGTTGAACAATAGACAGGTAAATAGTAGAAAATATGATTAATATTTTTGTGTAGCATGGTGGGCTTCAGAGAAAGGGATGAAAGACTTTTAAAAGTGATTAGACATAGGGATTTACACACCATTTCAACATAGCAATAAATTGTGGAACTAACACACACACACACACACACACACAAGGAAAAATGAATTTGGATTGGGGTTTTAGTGCAAAAGTTGCCAGAAAAAAAATATATGAAATTAATGAAAGATAAGGCTTATTTTATTAAGTGTGTTTGAACAGACTCATCTCTATCTCAGCTCTTCAACTCTGGTGATAGGAAACATATAGGTAGGGCGCATTCTTTGTGGGAAATTTATGTTCTGCTTATAGGTAGTGGACAGCAGGGCTCCAACATCTATGTACATGCTGTTTTTCAGTTGCTTTTACCCTCAAATAATTGATATGCTAAAGAGGTTTATTTAGGGAGTGGCATGTTTTTATTCCTTAAAATACCATACATTCAGGGCTGGGGATTTAGCTCAGTGGCATAAGTGCTTGCCTTGCAAGTAGGTAGTGGTGAGCTCGATCCCTGGTACCAATAAAAAAATTTAAAAAATAAAAAATACCGTACATTATGTAAAATGAATTGATGAAGAAGGATGGGAGGTATTTTCCTGCTTCTGTCTTCAACTTCATTGCTGCACTTGTTTGTCCATGAATAATAAATGCGTTTTTAAAATAGCACTGTTTGTTTATATCTGGCTTAGAGTATTTTGCTTACTATTTCAGAGCAGACATTCCTTTCGCAGTTATACTTGTATATTTTCCCTTTATGTTAAAGTAGTCATACCTTTAAAAATGTAACTTCTCCAACACGTCTTTCCTTAGAGGCTCATGAATGTTTTTTCATCTCATTGTCTAAAACAGAATCTAGTGAACTCTATAATCTGAGAATTTCTACACAAAAAGATCCATGTATCCAAAAGTATAGAAACTGGAAAGTCCTTCTGTCTGTTGCCACAATATTTCTTATGGTTTTTCCTTCCTCCTTTAACTCCCAAGCTCAAAGGCTTTGCTGATATGATGTGATAATTCATAAAATGATACCAAAATGCAGGGAACCAACCAATCAGTCTCAGACCAGTGTTAAAAAGAGTTTTGATTTGAGCTACATCTTAAAATGAGTTAAAATTTGAGGCGGAGAAGAGCAGTAGAGAAAACTCCATGGGCATTTTAGGAGGATTGGAATATAGATTCTGTGCACGATAGTTTTAAAAAGGAGCTTCACTATTGAAAGATTGTTTGGCAAAAGAGAAAAAGACCATTAGAAAAAAGAGTGTTGGACTCCGGTCCAGGCCTGCCTGCCGCCTCTCCCACCCGCCCTGAGACCACACTACCACCGCTACCTGCCAGAAGGAGAGGGCCCAGCCCAGCGGAGGGGACTCAAGTCCGCACCCTGCCTCCTCTGGCCAAGGAGCACACCACAGCGGCTGGGTGGAAGGAGGGAGCTGGGCCGAGCTGCTAAAACCTGCCCTGACTTCGCCTGCGACCTTCTTATGATCTGGAGAGCACCAGCAATACTGCCACTGCCTGGAGGAAGGAGCAGTCCTGCTGAGGAGGTTTGAGGCCTACTTAGGCCATAAAGGAACCTTCTATAAGCCTGGGGAGTTTTGCCATCCAAAGAGCTGGATTGTTACAAAACATCCAATCCCTGGGAGATTATGAGATGCTTGCTCTACGGGGTTGGAGCCCACTGGGCTTGCAGCCACACTATACTGGACTTAACAGGATTTGGGATTGCCTGGACCACAACAGGTGGCCTTCTATCCCTCAGGGGAGCTTTGCTACCAGAAGGGTAAACTGTGCAAACTGAGGAGGCTTTAGGTCTACCTGAGAGGAGCCTGGCAAGCCTCTTTTAATCCAGGGGCTCCACTGCCCAAGGAGGGAGCTACTACCAGAGGAGTCCCAAGAGCCCAGGACATAAGAGTCAATTTACAACACAACCAGGGGAAACTCTGGAACAACACTTGAAACACAGTAATATAGGAAAATGACAAAACGAAAGACCAAAATGCAATCTCAAACATCCAACCCATCTCAAGAAAGCCTAGGAGCCATGTACATAGAAGAAAATACATGCCATATACCTGAAATACCTGAAACAATAGTAACCAAAATAAAGAAGCAACTCTGGGAAGCTTTAAAGGAATTCAAACTAGAAATAATCTATCAGGTAAAAGAAGAAATAATAAAAGAAATGAAGGAGATGCTGAACATATCTAAAGAAGACACAGCTAAAAAATTGGAGGAACTAAACAAAAAGAATCTCTGGATGAACAATATAAGAAACAAACAGAATATATAAAACACATGCAAAGAGATATACAGGAAATCAAAAACCCCATTGAAAGTTGTAAAAACCGCCTGAATGATAGAACTTCGGACCTCAAAGACAAGATTGCAGCCAGTGAACAGGAAAGGAAAGATCTTTTAAAAATAACAAGAAATCAAGAAATAACAATTCAACACCTGCAATATGATGCAAAGAAAAACAACATAAGGTTGATAGGGATAAATGAAAAAGAAGGAGACAATACAAAGGCTGTCAAGAGGATATTTAGAGAAGTAATTGCTGAAAACTTCCCAAACATGAAATTGGAAACTGATATCACGATCAATGAGGCATATAGAACTCCAAATAGCCATAACCAAAATAAAACTACACCCAGACATATAATAGTCACAATTCCAGAAATCAAACAAAAGAATAGAATATTAAAAGCTGTCAGAGAGAAAAGACAGATCACCTATAAAGGAAAACCTATCAGAATCACAGCAGACTTCATAAGGCAAGAAGAGCATGGAGTGAAGTATTTCAGACCCTAAAGGAAAATGATTTCCAACCTAGACTGATGTACCCTGAAAAACGGTCCTTCAAAATCGATGGAGAAATAAGATACTTCCACGACAAAGAACAGCTGAAGAAATTCATGATCACCAAACCAATCCTGCACAGAATGCTGAAAGACAGTCTAGATACACTTAAGAAAAAACCACTTAACAAAGCAGACAATTAAATAGAACAGAAAGATAAAGATGCAACAGCAGAAATATAACATGTCACCAATAAACCAATATATAACAGTTATAACCATTAACATAAAGGGTCTCAATGCACTAATTAAAAGGAATAGACTGGCGGAATGGATCAAGAAACAAAATCCAACCATATGCTGTCTACAAGAAACCCATCTAACCCAAAAGGATACTCACAGACTGAAAGTCAAAGGATGAAAAACAATACTTCATGCAACAGGAACCCAAAAAAAAAAAGCATGAGTAGCTATTCTATTTGCAGACAATGTGACCCTCAAACCAATAATAATCAGAAGAGATAAAGCAGGTCACTACATACTGGTTACAGGAAAACTTCAAGAGGAAGAGATGACTATCTTAAATATACACCAAATTCCAAAGCACCCAGTTATATAAAACAAGTAATATCAGAAATGAAAAACCAAATTAGCAGTAATACAATTATAACTGGAGATTTTAACACACCATTGACACCAAT